AGGCTGTCATACAGAGAAAGGCCAGATCTCTTCTTGATCATTCTAGAGCAAGGGTGGCGAATCTTTTAGAGACCAAGTGCCCAAACTGCAACCCAAAACCCACTTATTTATCGCAAAGTGCCAACACTGCAATAAAACCTGAAAACTGAGGTTTTAGTTTAGAAAAAACAACTCACAGCCAGTCCAATGCAGTGCACTGTCCGACCATGGGAAAGCTCGGATGAGTTGCAGCTAATGAGTCGCGGCTCGTGATGTCATCACCTGGCACCACTACTCCTTTCCGAGCATGCACATGGCCCCTGTGTGCGCTGTTATCCGATGCTCAGCTGCTGGAGCAATGCTGGGGCGACTTGGCTCATGTGCCAACAGAGAGGGCTCAGTGTGCCCGCTGTGGCACGTGTGCCATAGGTTCGCCACCACTGTCCTAGAGTGTCAGACATGGAATAATGGGCTCATGTTTTGTCTGAATGTCAAGAAGAACTACCTGACTCTTAGAGCAGTAGGAGAATTGAACCAATTACCTAGGGAGGCCTTGTGCTTTCCTGCACAAGAGACATTCAAGCTGCAGCCAGACAACCTACTGTAAGGAATTATTTCAACTGGAGTCCTGCACTTAGCAGCGGGTTGGACCTGATAGCCTTCTTGGCCCCTTCCAACTCACTTATTCTATGATTCTAGGACCTTCCAAGTATATTTACAAGGAGTCCCTGTTCCTCAGGCAAGCACTTCTGCATCTTGAAGCTGATTAAGTCCTGAACTTTTGATAAGAATATAAGTAGGATTAAACCGAGGGTCCATCTAATTCAGCATTCTGTTCACACAGTAGCTAACCAGCTGTCCACAGGATCACACAAGCAGGACATCCTGAGCAAGTTTCTCAGCAACTGGTGAACATAAGCATACTGCCTCTTCTACTGGAGGTCAACATATCCCCATCAGGGCTAGTATCCATTTCTCCGTAAATTTGCCCAATTCCCCTTTAAAGCCATCCAAACTGGTGGCCAGATAAGAACATGATGCCTGCACACCCTGGACCTCAGTGGCCTAAGCTAAGAAGCTTTCTCTCTTGAGGGCTCAGAATCCCCTGATCCACCTCAAGGTCCCAAAACAAAGGCAGTTCTTCTATGATGGCTGAGTCAGGGAACTCCCAGTCATCCTCAAAAAGGAGCCCTGCACAGGGGACATGAGAAGAAAACAGCATGCTATCTGAGAGGTGCTCTGGAGTTTATTAGATGAATGGAAGCTTTTAAAAAGCCTCATTGCAGTATGAGGGCATGCTTTTCAACAGGATTCACAGCGCGCTTTCCCAAATAGAGCCATTTGCTCCAATGGAGAACTTTTTCTAAACTAATTACAGGTGAGGGAGTGTGTATTTAGGGTTTAAATTTAACTGAATCTGCTGTTTTTATTGTGTGTTGCTGATTTTCAGTGCTTACATGTTTTGATTTTTATGTGTTTGAAAAAATGCTTGCTCGCTCTCTCTCCCCACACACACGCGCGCACACACACACACCAATTTGGAAAATTAATTCAAAAGACAGGATAGAATTAGTTTTTAATAATAATAGCCCTGTTTGCATGTAACAACTTGTATTGAAAACCAGAGGGATGTCATACACACAGGGAAGAGGAATAGATGTGCTACCTGCAGCATGTCTACCTCTTCCACTTTTACTCAGCTATCCATGACTGGCCCCTTCATAGCTTGTAGAGTATAATGACCAAACCCAGAGCAATGGTTTGTTTAGGGATTAAAAAAACTCCAGTGATAAATGCTACTGCAAACTATGGGTTAAGCAGTGGTTGTCTATCCCCCAAACAATCTGTCAGCCTGCATTTGGATATCACACCCTTCAACCTACAAGGGAACCGATTGTGAGTTGTAGAGTAAAGGCAGAATGGGTGCAGGAGAACATTGTTCCACTTTCTACTTGGTTGCCTGGAGTGTATAGGATTATGACTATATTATGTTATTGCCCAGGCTCAACCCATGAAAGTTTGCTCCCTGAGGCAAAGGACAGGCCCTACCCAGTCAGCAACAGAACCTGACTACACTGATAGCTGAATCCTCAACACTGGGGATGAGTCAGTGTCCTCAACCCACCTGAAGTCATCCAGTTATCACAGTAAATAGAGGGCAGCCCATATGACACACACAGCTCTGCCCTCCAGTGTCTCACCATTGCTCTTTACTCGCTGAATTATAGTCCAACAACAACTGGAAAGCAACATGTTACCCACTGATGTAATATAGAATCTGCTGCCTCATAATGCCGTTGTGGTGACTTACACTGGTCTGTTTTAATAAAGAATTAAATATAAATAATATTTTGTTTGGGGTCTGCCATGCATGACAGTACAACCCTCACATTAAAATGTGTTATATTAATGGTTTGAGGGGCAAAAAGTCACAGTGCCCCCCTTCTTGATTGACTTCTATAGAATATAAAATAACAAAATGTGGCTGTGCTGTATTTCTGCAGTATTCATACTTGGAACACGGAAGACATGATCAAGATGCTACTCTTTGGCCAGCTGTTGGCAGCATACCACCACTGCCCGGGGCGTGTGTACCCTGCACATCCACCACTGCAGAAAATGCAATTTTTGTCCTGTGTGGTTTTATAAGGCAAAATCAGCAGCATGTTGAAAGACAATGGGCATAGAGGGGCCATGAACTTAGACTCTAACTCCCATTAACTCCAGCCAGCGTGACCAGTGGTCAGGGATAATAGGAATCCTAATCCTATATCTGGAGGACCATAGATACCCCACTCCTGATGTAGGTTCTGCTGATTGGATTCAATCCAGCTGGTTGGGAGATACTTATATAAAGATACAAGCCATCCATCTGCACTGTGGGTTCTACAGGTAGTTCAAAGAGAACTGATCATTTGGCAGCTTTATTAGTCTGCTGTTGGATAATAGTGCAAAGGAGAACAGGCTTCAGTGCTGGGATCTGTTCCATGTAAGGGTGGCCAAGGTTGTGTCCAGGCAGGCTTCAGACATGAATATTTCATGGAGACAGAGCCCTCTACTAAAGCATCACTTGAGTCTAGGCTGGCAAGATAAAACCAACATGCCGAAGTAACCTGAGCTGTAAAGTTTCAATTTCAGTTTACAAGGAACAAATACGCTTGTCTGGTGGAAGCAGGAAATTGCTCTCTTACTGGTGTGGTGAAATAGGACAAAATTCCTCAGAACACCTAAATAACAGGTCAAGCCCTGAGAGGTCTCGAGGTGAGCTGTTGAGGCTGAGCATGTGTATCCATAGCCGCAGAAGGATTATATCATATGGGAGAAAGTGTTGTACAGCTTATTTTGGGGGCTTTGCTCCTATATATCAGGTGTGTGGCACACTAATTACAGCAGCTTTCCCATCTGACGTCCCCCAGCTGCACTGGATTGCAGTTCTCATATTTTTAGCCAGCATGGCTCATGCTGTTTGAGACTGATGGGTATTGAATTCCAGTACTTGAACTAGAGTGTGCCAGACTAGACTAGGACTGTGCCTAGTTCAAACCCAGGAACAGCCATGTAGCACACTGAGCAACTCTCTGCTCTTCATGGCCTCTCAGCTTAACCTACCTGACATGAAGATAAAAGGGGACAACCGTTTGTGCTGCTCTGAGCTCCTTGGAGGAAGGGCAAGATAAAAAGTTAAGTAAAATCTTTTCTTATTAGACTGGGGGCAAGAGGAGACCTTTTACTGCTCAGAGACAACTACCTGGCAGTTGTCCCACATTGATGGCTCAGAGCTCATTCTGCTGGGCATTGATTCTGTCATAGTCCACTACTGTCCTGTTAATGCCTAAATTACTGTCCCCTGTCATAAGGCAGATGGGTGCATAACCTATGCCCCTCAGTTGTGCTCGGACTGTGCTGGTTATGTTGGATTTGCTCACACTTACTGTAGCAGAAAGCCATAAAATATGATGGTGTTTTGGTTCCAACCGCAGGAATTCAGTTCTCAAGCTCAGAGAGGTTCTGCAATCCCTTGCTAAGGCATCCAGCAACTCTGGCACACTAACAGGATTAATAAAATTAGTTCATGATGGCACAGCTAACTAACTATGTACATAGAAGACCGTTAGAAGAATTTAATGACAAATGGAAATTTTATCATGATTAATGGAAGTTCAGGAAAAGAAAAAGGGAAACAGTAGAATTTGAACTGATTAGAAAATCTGTTGATGTATAAAATAATGATTTTTTGGGTAAACTCTCCAAGAGCATAGGAAGATAGGAAGAGAGCCAGTTTTGAGGGCTGCAATACATAGGCTGTATATATTTAAAATTCCCTTGGCAACTTTGTTAATTTTGTTACTTTAGTCTGTTCTGTTTATATTGTTTTTTTCTATTCTACATTTTCTTTTATCTATTTGTATATGTTAAGAAAATAAAAATAAGAATTAATTCTTAAGGCCATTGGATTCATCAGTGATGAAAGGAGCCCATTAAACTGGGGTTTAGCTCAGTTTTCTCTGTATATTTCATTGGATGTGTTAAAGCTAAGTAGGCAGCCCCAACCCCTTAGTATTCTGATTACTACAGATTTAGTCATTTTCAGATTGTATCAATAGAATGTGCAGTGATGTTGCACATTCTGTAACCCTGAACTATGAGCAGATTGCAGTTCCAGATGACATGTAACATATCAAGCTCAGAGGTGGTGTTAGGGCACTTTAGTTTCTTGCGAGTGTTATTCATGGTGCATTGAGCCAAATCTGATAAAGATGGATTTCCTACCTTCAGTGATGCTATTTGGTAATTTTAGATTCTGGATATCATGGCCTTATTGGGGGTGGGATTTAGCTGGTAGTTCTTCTACCTGCTTTGAAGCATGGTCATACTACATTGTGAGTCTCTAGAAATCTGCCCCATAATCTTTCCCTAACAGTTCTGCTACCTGCCTTCCCTGCCTTTCCCTAATCTGTCAAATGCTCCTTCCCATACCTGTCTTATACTGCTCACTCATGTTCCTGCACCCTCCTTTGCAGCTGCTGCCCTGTCTTCCTGAAAGTTGACACCATGACCCTGACCAAGGGCTCCTTCACTTACTCCAGTGGGGAGGAATATCGTGGGGAGTGGAAGGAAGGTAAGTGAGGCTGAAGTAGTTGAGGTCAGCCTTTCTTCAAGCTTGCTGTAGTGGCCATTCCTCTCTTGCCAGAGTGCACAGAATTGTTTTTGCATCTGAAGCACTTTTTGGGGTGAGATCCTTCATAGCTGAGGAATGAAAATATTCCCCTCCCCATTTAGCAGTGAAAATGCTTGCACAGACTTTGAGGAGTTTGAAAATACTTAAGTGTGCCCTCCGCATCACAGTGTGTTTTGCCTTCCCTACACAATCCTGTTCTGCGTCACATGTCAGCCAAATCTAGGTAACAACTTTGTCCTTGTTTCGTATCATAACAAGAGGAGGGCTTGTCACCAGCACCACTAACTCTGTAAGCAGGGTTACTTTTGAAAAGGCTCTTCTTGCCCAGACAGATGGTACTTTCTGCCCTGATTCCCCAAGTGGTTCCATCCGGAGGTAGAGAAAACAAAGACTATGTTCCAAATTGCTGTCTCCCACTGGCAGTTGTTGGCTGGGTGGGGTGTTGGGCAGCTAAACCTCTTCTTTAGGGATCTGCATGTGATACATACATTTCAGGGTGTTTTCATTAGCTGCACAATCAATTCTAGTAATTTGGTAGTATTCCTCAAGGCCCACAAAGCCCATGCTATGCCTGCTTTGTGAGCTGTGTGTGACTGTTTAGGGAAGCACAACAAGCTTTGTTGAGGAACAGTTGGTGGTAGAAGGAACAAGCAACGGCAGGGTCCTGTCTGTTCTCTGCTCTCCACATCAAACTAGCCAGCTTGGTCTCTACTGCAGCCACTCCACTCCATTTCTTTTTGCAGCTTCTTTGAAGTTGCAAGTGTTGATCTGAGGTTTTCTGGGCACAATGGTTTCCTTTTATCACAAGTGACAAAAGTGATAGTACTCGTTCTCTCTGACCAGGGCGCCGACATGGTGTTGGGCAGTTGACATTTGCTGACGGCAGCATTTACCTGGGGCACTTTGAGAATGGTCTCTTCAATGGCTGTGGGGTTCTCACTTTTGCTGATGGCTCCAGGTGAGTGCAGGCCTTGGACACACTGACAGTGATTAAGCCTAGTATAGAGTGTTTGTGGATGACCAAAACAGTCCTAGGAAATAAGAGAAGCTGGCACTCTGTGCTGACTGTGTAACCAGATTTGGAGAATGTGTATACTTTGCTACCCCTTGCATGAAGATCATTTTTAATGTTCTGAAACTCACAGCCATAAGCAAACAGTTCTTGATATTTATTGCTATACTGCTGCTTGTCACAGGTCCTCTTTAGCCACTAGGGTTACTGCAGAATCCTTCAAATGATGCCCCTGTGGCTCTTGATCTTCAGTACAGTATGGTGCATTCATTCTAATGTTCTCAAAAGCCTTTCAGCTTTGAGGTCTCCAGCATTTGGGGCCTGTGAAAAAGTATTATGGATGATGACGCAAAATGGTGGCTATGGAGTGATGCCATGCGATAAGTGTAGCCAGTCACAAAACGCCCATTTCACAGAAAGGCAAGCTGGTAAGGCTAAAAGAAAGAACATTCTCCAAGAACCACCTATCTAAGGCATAGGTGGCCTCTGAGCGGGAAACACAAAACTGTAGCACACGCTTGCTCTCTTGTTCTCTCTCTTAGATAATCAGTTATACACACATTCTCTCTCTCTCCCTCCCCTACTTTTGTGCACAAGCACCCCCCCACACACACACAGACATACATCTAATACACTCACACAAAAACATCGCCTACCCATCCACCTTCTGCCCTCTCAATGACTCTCCACTGCCTCCCGCCCTGTTGCTCCCTGATTTTCATCTCACTTCTCCCCATTGTCCCACATCCTTTCTCCCTATCACCACCACTGTACCTGACTAACCATCAGTGGAAAAGGTTTCTTCCCCCGCCTCCAGGGCAGCTGGATGCACAATAAAGCATAGCATGGACTCTGTCTTCTGCAATTCCGCAATATATATTTTAGGGAACTTGAAGAGAGGGGCAGTTAGAGCCCTGGGCAGCACTGTTCCTCATCGCACATGTAGCTTCCAGGAGGGGGATTTTTAAAAGAATCGATTTAAAGAAAGGGGCATAGGAGTCATGGAAGAGCTCTGTGAGTGCATTAGTACCAGGGCACCCCATTAGGAAAGGCCGCCTTACGAAAGCTTGCTGCAGATCATTAGCAGCAGTCTCCTATCCTGACCCAAGTCTATTGATCGATGCAGGTATGAAGGGGAGTTTGTGCAAGGCAAGTTCAATGGTGTTGGAGTCTTCACGCGCTATGACAACATGATCTTTGAGGGAGAATTCAAGGGTGGACGTGTTGATGGCTTTGGTGAGTGCCAGAAGTTACTTGTTGGTATAGTCAAGCAGAAATACTCATCATCTAGGACTAAAAGTATTTTGAGGACACTGCTCAGTGTAGAATGGGCACAAGTGAGGGGGTGGGCACCATCCTCCAAGCACTTCTGTGGCCCCCAGTGCCCATCTTGACTCAGGCTCCTGCCCTCTTAGTTCTACACATTGCTCTTTGCGAGGACCTCTGCAACTCTGCTCCCCCCCCACCACCACTGTGCTGCACACCCACAGCCCTATAGTTATGCTGAACAAGGATCTTCTGTTTTCTCCCACAGGGCTTCTCACTTTTCCTGATGGCTCCCATGGGATCCCCCGTAATGAAGGCTTTTTTGAAAACAACAAACTCTTGAGACGGGAGAAGTGCCAGGCAGTCGTCCAGCGTGCACAGAGTGCCTCCAAGTTGGCACATGGCCTTACAGCATGATGGGTGTAAGCTTTAAAGCACCCTCCCTACCCCAGGACTCTCCCATGAGCTACAGCCTAACATGCAGATTGGCAGGTGGGTAGAATGCAAGAGTCACAGAGACAAACGCCATCTCTAGGAGGCTGATGATCCCAACTCAACCCTGATTAGTCCGGCAGCCTGTCTGGGTCATTTCCCTAAATAGCTTAACCCCCAAAGTATGACCTGGTGCCAAACCTCAGTTGTAGAGCCACTGTCTCCTGCCAAACAGTGTCTTTCCCTTCTGAGACCATGGCATTCCCTTTATCAGGACTCACGTTCTCCATAGGACAGTCAGGTAGTGCTGCAGCCCCACATCTTTGATGGGCACAGTGGGAGGCACCTGAACTCTCTCCTCATACACACACGGTGGGGCAGGGGACACAAGGAGTAATTCAGTGCACATTGTGATAATCCACAAGGATGTTCTTGCACTGTTCTTCACCTTGAGGCAAATGCAGCCAGGCAGTGGCAAATTCAAACTGGCTGGACCTCAATGGTCAGAGGAAGAGTTGGAATGTGTATTTAATGCAGCAGTTTGCCTCTGTGTATTCCTAAACTTCTAGTTAAGCAGAAAGTAGGTCTCAAGTTTTGGAATTCAATTCCCAGTAGTCCGTGCTGGCAAGGGCTTCTTGGAGTTGAATTCCCAAACATACATACATACATACATACATAAATACATACATACATTTATTTATGACCTTTGTATGCCGTCGTTTGCGACAGCCTCATCTGGATATCTGCTTTCTGTCCAGCCCAGATCTAGTTGTCTCCTGCCTTCTCAAGACTTCTTTTCTTTACCTCCCCATGTCCTCCCAAAAATTGTATGCAAAAATGATGTCCAGAACAGAACTTTAGACCTTCTGAATGTGCCTTTTACTAGCTTTGCAGATCAGCACAAGGAAGGAGGTCTTTATTATCTTTTATGCTCCACAGTTCATTTGGGACTTCTTTCCATTTTTGTTTTAGCTTTCTTGTACTTCTTCCTGGCTGCTTTAACTGTTAGTATTGGGGTTGCGTCTTGGGGGAAAGGCAACATTTCTCGGCTGTCCTCCTTTACATAGGGTTGACACACAGGGCCTGGGAAGAAGAGATCCACATAGTACACATATCCTGTACTTCAAAAACAAAATTCTGCATCAAGGGAAACTGAATTCAGCAACCTATATAAATTATGCAAACTATACTTGTTTATTTTGTATAATTTCTGCTTTTGCTACCCATGGAGAAAGGCAGAGAGCTTTACAAAACACCTAAAGCCTTAGTGTTTGATCAGTGGAAGTTTAGTGCAGCCACCAGCTCCTTCCTCTGGTTCCTAAGACTTTAGCAATCATTGCATAAATGCTTTTTAGCATTTTTGTGATCTTAATGGCAAGATGTTTGCTTTAAAATAGAACTAATAATTTAAAAATGTACATCGCAGGATAGTGATGTTCAACACTGCATAATCAGCCACAGAATAATAGCATGCACACAGCCCTGTACATGTAAAAAAAAATCATAACCCTTCTCATTTTATCCACTAGGTCCAAAGAGATGGCTGCTCCCAGATATAGTAATGCTGTGTCTCCCTTTAGAAACATTTTTATGGATACATTATGAATCGATACTGGAACCTAGCACAACAGCTTACAGTAATTTATAGTATGATGATTACAGGTCATCCCTGATACAATAGCGCAAGCTAAGCAGAAGGAAGAAGCAGCTTCTGGCAGGCTCCTTTCTAGAGATGCAGGCTGAATGGAAATGCTGGGACAGTAAAAGAGAAAATTAATTGTTGTTGTGGGATAGCAAAGATAAAGTGGGGTGGGGACTGAGTTGGGATCAAGTGTTCATTGAAGAGCTAACATTGTTTCTGCCCAATCACTTTGTGTTTCTGTGCACTGAAACATGGGATTGTTTTTGGACTGGGGTGGAGGTGTTCTTAGCAAAGTATTGACCCGCATGGTGTGTGTCCCTAAGTGCCATGCTGGAACCTGTGTAACCAGCCCACTTCCACATTGAATGTCTGCATGTCAATGCCACCCGTGTGCCTTTGTGTCTCTGCCCGTGTAAGGGCTTGGCCAAATAAAGACGTGCTGAATCTCTGCTTCCATTTCTTCTTTTCTTCCACTGAAGGATGCAACAGAGCATTAAGGGGAGGGTGTGCTGAGCCTGAAGGTAAAGCAGAACAGATTGTCTGCAGAGCCCATACAATATTGCAAAAAAAAAAAAAAGCTTCTATTTTAAAAAGTGTTTTTCCATGGCATGTGTATGATATGTATATTTAACATGAGATAAATATAGAATGCTTCCTCTGTACCCAATAAATGTGCCCAGGTTATTCATATGAATCTGCCTTTACTGTACCAGACAGTTGGTCAAGTTGCTCTACTCTGGTGTTTCAGGCTCTCAGATAGTTTTCTCCTATCACCTACTAGCTTATCCTTTTAAGTAAAGATGCCAGGAATTGAACCAGTACTCTGGTTGCCTGCAAAAAACCTAACAATATATGTTTTGTCCCTGATATGGTTCCTCCTCTTTGTGCATATGAAACATCATGAAAAAGGCACACGTGCTCACCCCATGCCGCCACATTTACCATTTTATAGCACTTGCTTGAATGCCACAAACATTGTCTCCGTAATCAAACGGGCTTAGAAGGATGCTGGCTGTGAGTTACTGCTTCTAGGATAGCTTGACCCAGTGCTGTCCCGCAGCATTGGGGTGCAGCTGCTATGGATGGCATGGCTATACTGGCAGCTGTAATCCACCACATTTGGAGGGCACCAGGTTTAGGGAAGGTTGGCATGGATAACTGTTTAACCATCTGCCATTTGCATCAAGGCAGCTTTATCTCTGGTCTACCTTTGTCTCACCTTGATCCAGAACTCTGCTGCCAAAATAATTAACCCCATTTATTGACCTGATTATGCAATGTGCTTTCTTAAATCCCTACTCTGGGTTGTCATTGTCTTTGTTTTTGGTTTATAGTCAAGCATCATACACACTCCTCCTCATCACCTTCACAGCTTCTATGGCCTGGCATCCACCTCTATTTCACTATCTTTAACCCACATCATCTCTGCCTGTGTTCCTCCTGCTGCATCAGCCTCAATGATCAAAGGTCGCCTGCTCCCTCGGGCCTCTCCAGCTGTCCTCCTTTACTGTACGGTGTGCTTCCCACCTGCCTCTCCTTGCCAAGGGCATGGTGCTACCCTCACCTTCTATGCTTCACATCCTCCGCAAACTCCACCTTTGCTGCAAAGGTCTTGACCCAGCCCTTTAGTTCCCATACTCTAACCTTGGGGCAGGGAACTATTATTATATTTGGGTAAAGTCAGGTATAATATCTGATTTCTGTAACACGCTCTACGTGGGGCTGCCCTTGAAGACAGTCTGGATACTTCAGATGGTGCAAAATAGAGCAGCCAGGTTGCTGATGGGGACTGGGCGTTATTCTCATACAACCCCAGTCCTCTACCAGCATCATTGGCTTCCCATTGAAGTTCGGGCTCAATTCAAGGTGTTGGTAATCACTTATAAAGCCCTTAACGGCTTGGGACCCCGATACCTAAAGGAACACCTGCGGCCATATTTGTCCTCCCGCCCCTTGAGATCGGCAGCAGAGGCTCTCCTCCAGGAACCTCCTGTAACAGATATCAGGAAGCAAAGTATCCGGAGGAGGGCTTTCTCTGTGGTGGCACCCCATCTGTGGAATGCGCTCCCCAGAAATGTCCGCCTGGTACCGTCGTTATTTGTTTTTTGGTGCCAGACCCTTTTATTCAAACAGTATTTTAATAATGTTTAATATTTATAGATTTTAATTGTGCAGCCAGTGTGTTTCCAGGTTTTAATTGTAATTGTAATTGTTTTATTTATTCCTGTGAGCCATCCCGAGGCTATGTAGCAAGGGGACAGCATATAAAAACTTTCAATGAATAAATAATAAATGTCTCCAGATTTTTTGGACTAAGAGTCCCATAAGACCAGACAGTATGGCCAGTGGTCAGGAATTATGGGTATTCTAGTCCAAACCACCTGAAAGATAATCAGGTTGCCTGTCCTCGACCACTTATAATAAACCTAAGTACATGTAATTGAAACAAATCATATTATTCCACTGCCCTATGAGAAAATTGTAAGCTCCTCGAGGCAGGGGCCTGCTCTTTCACATTTTGTAAAAGCATCATATATACTGATGGAACGACATCAGGAATGAGAAATGTGTGACCTCCAGACATTAGGCTGCAATTCTCATCACCTTTTGCCTTGGGCTAGGGCTGATGGGAGTTGTAGTCCAACACCACCTGGAAAGCCACACATTCTCTATTCCTGATGTATACAAATGAGCATTTACTTTTATTTATTTCATTTTTGTACTATGTAATAGTCTGAAAGCTAACAACAACTGAAGGCAGCTTGGTTAAGCACTAGTGCCCTAGTGTCATTGACCATCAGCTACAAACAGTGGTACTGGGTCTGTATGTGTGGATTAATATCCTTTCAAGGCACCTTTCTGCAGGGAGTACTGCAACAAGCGTGGCATTTTATATAATGCTCTTGCACAGCCAGTACATGCTTCCTTCCTTCGCCTTAATACAGTTTCCCCCTTCGAGTATGAGATCAGCATGATTTAACCAAGCCCTCTCTCTTTCCCTTCCATGCAGAACATACTATTATAGAAACAGTAGATTGGGCACAGCAATAGAATCAGTTTTACCAAAAAAAATACATTTTACTAAAAATTAATTTCACCAATGCTACCTCTGTCAGTGGAAACTAGGAGGAAGAGAGGTTCCGTAGCAGCAGCATCAAGCAGCACTTCATATTGGGTATGAAATAGAGTACCCTCCCTGTTATGGGTGCTTATCAAGCAATGAGTCTGGATACAGATCAAACTATCATGGATTGTCTCGTACTGCATTCGTATGCGCAGTTCAGTGACTATAGGCTCATGCAAGCCCTCTAAGACATGAACTCAAGGGATAGTATAACAGCGGTATTTTGCCCCATTGAGTCCCAATTTGATCTCAGCCCTTACAACAGCAGATATACCATTGATCTTTGACTGTATGTCTTTGACTCCAATAAAACTAAGATGCCTGGAATGGTCAAGAAAAGGGAAATATGGCAGAAAATGGGATGCAGCCAGTTCTGCAGTATTGTATAATAAGTGCCCCACCTAAGGAAATAGTTGGAGAATCTAAGCAGGAAAGGTCAGAGTTTATATGCAGAAAGACTGTTGGGTTTCTCCCCTGCCATGAGATGTAGCATTTGCTCATTTAAAACTCCATTCTGGGGTCCTTAAATCCCCCGTTTGGCTGCTGCTGCAGTGCTCAGATGTCAATGAAACGTCAATGAATACACTATATTTGAATGAGCTGTATTTCAAAAGTGGCAACATGTGTAAAAACTGATGCTCAACCTTACAGCAGGCAGTCTATTGCCCATTGCAAAGTTCTGGACGTTGCTGGGAACATCTTGGTCCTTCAGAGCCAGCCATTAGAGCTGAAGTCCTGGTGCAGTTCCATCACTTGTGACTCACTTAAGGGGAGCAAAGGGGCACGACAGAAGCCTCCCTTGAAACCAAACCACTCCATGGCCTGCTTGAGGCCTGGAACCCCAAACTTGCTTGTTACCTGTGGGAATAGAAAAAGGTCGAGAGGGTCTGAAAATGCTGCATGACCAACAATGCAGAATAGGTGTATATGAATTCTGGTCCCATTCTTACACCACTTTAAGTGACACTTAAAGAATTTAGAAGGAACTAAATAATTGCATTGTCAAGAACAGCCTAAGAACAGCCTTTAGCAGCCATATAGGTTGGCCCACAACTCCCAACGTTTGCATCTTTTCCCAACATGAGCTAGGAACTATAGTCCAATACTTCTGGGAAACATCAGGTTTGGGAAGGCTAATCTAGCATCTATGTGTCGCCACCACAGAATGGCCAAGGCCATGTAAACAGGTATTAGAACCCAGTCAATCATGTTTGACTATTGCTAAATTTAGGTAAGGAAATCATGTTGCATATCATACTATCCTTGCGTATTTTAAGTCAATAATGGACATACCTTTGAGCAAGGAGCCAATCTTTTCTTAGATTACATGAGGACCACTGATACTACAATTAATAATATTAGTAGTAGTAATACAGTTAGCAGGTATAACTACTAGCATAATGATATAAATATCCTGCTTCTAATCAATGCCAATGGCCTGCAGGCTGAGGGTTGCGCTGCAGAAGCATTGCCTCTTCCCCATAATCTCCCCCATAGATTGGCAAGAAAGGCCATGTTCCAGATTCCACCCCCTTTCACCCAGCCCTATGGCTCTTACTGCAATGTTTGGCTCAATGAGTCGATGCTGCAGTTCACGGGCCTCGTCCCAGTGGCCAGCCTGGCATAGTTGCTCAAGCTGACAAACTGGCATCCCAAGCACATTGGCAAGCGCACAAACCCCTCCAGAGGCACCTGGAACAAGGAAGAGAGTCAATGAAAACACCTCACCACAGAAACATGCACCCTTGTATCACCTACATTTCTTTGCCACACTTTTTTCATTTGGCTCCTTCCAAACCTGAACAGAAAGCTGTGGAGCACACAGTACATCAAGGTCCCCTGTACTAGCAGCTAGCCCCTCACTTCCTAGCTTTTCTCTTTAAGGGATGTTATGGAACAAAGTTTGATGATAATTTCCAGCAGAATAGCTATGTCAGTTATAGCAAAAAATCTACTTTCCAGATTTCTCTTCTCCACAACCCCACTCTTTACAAGTCCTACCCCCACCCCAAATATAGGTGTTTATATACTTGAAACTCAAGAAATAAATAGTTCATGCGTCTGATGAAGTGGGATGTAGCCATGAAAGCTTATGCCATAAATGTTTTGTTCTTAAGATGCCACACGATTCTTGATTGTTCTAATATGGAAATACTATGTCCTCTCCTTTTACAATGCTGCAACAACATCACCCCTACTTTGTAACCCTTCGCCATGTCTTGAAACATACAGCCACAGTCTACAGAACTGCTTCCCTATGGAGGCAAATTCTGATCATCACTTACCTACAATGTAGCTGGCCAGCAGAAAACTAGCTGATCCTGCCAGTACCTGGAAGTCCTCATGCTGGGTCTTGTAGACAAACAGCCCAAGACGGGTGATCTGGTAAGGGATGGGATGGTTCAACAGAGGGAGACAGCACTAAAAACTAATCTAAAGGGGGTGCTGAAAAGTAGCCATTGACAGTGGCCACAAGGAACACATGATAAACGCATGTTCCAGGCACTGATGGACACAGGGCTGAACTCATGGAACCCCTGAAGCAGCTGGCCTCTACAAGAGCTCAGCCTCTCCCAAACTGGTGCCCTCCAGATGTCTCAGACTGCAGCTCCCTCTCTTTCAGAGTATCCGCCATGCTGACTGGGGCCGATCAGGAGGACACCAGGATGGAAAAGGACGGTTATGATTTTGCTCTAGGTTAGTGTTCTATCAGAGGGCAATACCGATATCAAGGAAGAAGAAAGGGTGGGATGGATGGCCTGGAGGTCTAAACAGAGAGTGGTCAAAGGCCATATGATGCTGTATTAAATGGTCAATCTGTTGAGTTTCTGGAGGGAAAATTGTCAGGGAGTTTCAAGTAGTTTCTGGGAAATAATATAATATCTTACAAATTTTAATTAAACTTGAACATGGTACTGGTAGCCCCACAGCCGAAGGGTGTGGGTTAAGTAGAAGTTCCAGCTAGTCATACACATCCAGACAAATTTGTTGGGACAAAGCAAATCCAACTATTCTGCACTAAAATTCCAGATGTCCCCACTCCAATAACAGGATTGATCTGAGGCTGATCTTTGAGAGCATCCACAGAACAGCCTGGAAAAGGAATGGGTGCAAATCCAGGATATAAATAACCATCGCAAGGCACATGCGTGTGGAATTCCATCCCAGACTGGCTCCACATCTGATCATACCATAAGCAGTAGTGACTGCTGTCGCAGGGGCAAGAGCAACACACAGAAAGACATCGGCTGTCTGCCTCATTTGTATCTCATCCTCCAAAGAATCCAGAATGGATTATGGAAATGATTGCATTTTATTCTTACCTATGAGGTCAGTCAAGATGAGAAATGGTCAACAGTGGGCTTCATGGCAAACTACAAATCTGCATCCAGACTTCCCCGGTCCAAGTATAACCAACTGCTATAGGACACTGGCACTCAGGCTAAGCATTATCACAGCACCTGTTTTGTCTCCCTCCCATTCAAAGAGTGTGGGAAAGCTGCATCTGGTTGTGACCTCAGTTTACAAAAGTATTTTCTGGGCTACAAATAATTTTAAGTTAATGTTTCAACACTGTGCGTGAAGGAGAAATTTGGCACTTTCCCAGACCTTCCTATAAGCTACTAAGAACATGACTTTACCAGTTTCTACTTCCCAAATACTAAAAGCCCCCCAAATTAAGATTCTCATCAAGATCCCAGACTGCATTCTCTGGCTCAGCATCTCAGCTTCCACCTTTCACTCACATTGCCACCACTGTCCTTGATCCCTACAATGTTTGGATGTTGGGCCAAGCGAAACACAGCATCATTGGGCAGCTCCAGATTCGTGTTAGCAGGGACACTGTATAAGATCACGGGGATTGGAGAGGCATCAGCCACCTGGGGAACACAAAACAACACAGCACATTAGCACTTGCAGGAGAAGCCAGTCACAGGTTACTCTCTGGCAAATCCCACCAAATGTGGATTCGCATACCTCCTTGTGCATGCTGGCACCATATAAATGCCAGTCATCTCCCTGCTGAGGCTGATCTTGAAGGTCAGAAGTGGGAAACTGCAAGGGGCCAAAACTAGCTCCCCTGGGTCACCAGGATGGCATGTCCCTTTCTGCTTCCCCAGTCTTACCTCTTTCCCTCCTTACGACCACAGATCATTGGGCAGTTTCCCATCTTTTTCCTTGTTTTTCCTTTTGAAATGCTTCTTAGTTTAGGGTTAGGGTTAGCAAATGCAATTGATTACTGGCAGTGACTAATACAATACTTAGGCTGTGTGTGTGGTGGGGGGGGGGTTGTGCCTGCCCACTTTGCCTTTAACCATGGCTACTTTCAGAAGGCAGCTCCCACCCAAGATCATTCCTGGAACAAAATGTGCCAGTCACCGCACTGGTTGTTACTCTCATGATCCCATGTTTTGATTGGGATGACGCAGCTCTATTTGCTGACCTGTCTCATGTGTTTCCTCTTTAACAGAAGAAAATGTCACATATTTTCTGGACTGTGGTGCATCCATTTTTCCAGCATAGCAAAGAACATCAGGAGTGTTAGGCCTAACATCACAGCCAGTGGTTTCCAGGGTATCCTATCTGTCTGCCAATACTTCTTGAATGATTCTCACAAGCAAGAAGAACTAATAGTCAAAAGGTGAGTGCCATTCAAAGGAAGTAATGGACAGGAGCAGATCCTGGAGGAAGCAAATCATTTATTCATTTGGCCCTGTAAGTGCCCTGTGAATACACAGGGAAGAATGCATTCAGTAAGATCCTCAAAGCTGGAAAAGGGCAATAACTGATGTGAATTAACAAACAAACCTTAACACGCCAGATTCATTCATTCCCATTTCCTATTTGCTCAAATTCAGCTTTCTGTTGAACTCCATTCTCTGACTGAGTAAAGTATGCTTTAAAGCTTTAAGCCAAGAAAGTATTAGTGCCTCTGATAAGCCTCTAAGCAACCTATGGAGAAATTGTATCTGGATCCAGAATTAAAAGCATTAGCTACATGGCTGCTACATTTACAAAGTTAGCTGATGTTTTGTGTGTGTATACAAGTAATAAAGAGTAACACATAAAGAACTCTCCTAGCCTAATTCCAGGCATCGTCCCACCCCTTCCCTCAAAACTGTCCTCAGTCCCAGCACTCTCTGATCAGGGAGGTGCCCTGACCCCATTCGTCACCTGTGTGTAATGATGGATCAAGGCCGCACTGGTCATGCTTCCCCGGAAGTAGCAAGGAGTTACCACAAGGGCAGCATCAGCACCCTTGTCAGCGATCTGTGCTGTCAGTTCAATGGTGCCCTGAGTTGCTAAGGGAAGAAAGATAAATTTCTGCTGAATAAATGATATCCCATAAGGGTTTTATGAAGCTTATGGAAACAAACAGTGGGCATTCTGAGACTGGGACCTTCTAACAGCTAATGGTGTCCAGAAAGGGCTGCAAGGAGTAAAAGATGAATGGGTGAGGTCCCAACAGAATCCTCATGCAGGGTATGGGAAGCTAGACACTGGTGTTCTCCAACCTACCCTCCACCACACTCACATTCACATCCAGTCCCGGCAAGTAGGAGTTTTTCCTTGGGCACAGCTTGGCGTACCCGTCTCACCACTTCTAGGCGCTCCTGCTGTGTCAAGTAAGGAGCTTCACCATTGGAACCCTGTACCACAAGCCCTGCAAAGAAGAGTAGACATTGGCTGTGCATGGCTTCTCCATTAGGCCACATCACCATCAGATTTAATGGATTCATTTCTAGTATTTATGTGTTGCTTCAAAAATACAAGTTCCCAAAGCAAAATGCAATCATTAACAGCCTCCCCACCTCACCCACATGCATACATTAAGAACATTAGCACAGTAAAAATGTAAAACTAACTGGCAACTACATGTCAGGTAGAAATCCAACAGATAAGGCTGCAAAACAAACATGTCAGGGAAATGTTATGTTCTGAATTTTTGCATGACATAAGTGCAGCTGTTAAGGGCATATGAATCCTGCCAAATAAGGATAAGTCCTTTCAGACAGGGGATGAAGTGGGATGTTTTACGAAAGAATACATGACTAGGTATGATGAGAAAGTACAAGAGACTGATAGCAAACCTATCAGTGTGACACTGCCTCTGGGCAAGTCTAGAAGATCATTATTTGGTCACAGGAAAAATGTGCTAATGATGCTGATTCCCCCTTCATTTCCTGTGGAGCTGCAGGCAAGTGCCAAAGTCCAGGCAGGCAGCTAGCCATGCATGTCCTTGAGGACAAAGCAGAGTTACCAATTCAGCTCTGCACAGCCCCCCTCCTTTTACTGGAAAAGGACCAGCTGCAAAAGACAAGAGACGGGTTGTTTTCCAAATCTATGGTGAGGTGCCAGTGTTGGAGAAGGTGTTGAGTTGATGTAGCTTTGCCAGCGTGTCCTCTTCAAATGACCAGCAGCCCCTTCCCTAGAGCAGGTCTGGGGAACGTGAGGCCCTCCAGGTGTTATTGGACTGCAATTCCTGTCATCACTTACCACTGGCCATGCTGGCCAGAGCTCATGGAGTAGTCATCCAACATCCCTCACTCGTTGTTGTTGTTGTTAGTCGTGAAGTCATGTCCGACCCATCGTGACCCCACGGACAACACTCCTCCAGGCCTTCCTGTCCTCCCCCATCCCCCAGAGTCCACCTAAGCTCACACCAACTGCTTCAGTGACTCCATCTAGCCACCTCATTCTCTGCCGTCCCCTTCTTCTTTTTGCTGTCAATTGTTCCCAGCATTAGGCTCTTCTCCAGGGAGTCCTTCCCTCACTCCTACACTACAGCAAAACTTTTTGCTTACTCTCCCAAGAATTGCCCGGTCCCCCCACCCCCGCCCAGAGGTTTTGTGCTTTTAACTGCTGCATAAGGCAGAAATTTAAAGGTTCTCGCCTCTAGAAATGAGAACTACTGTTTGGAGGAAGGACGAAGACGGCCCGAGCCTGGTTCTTTGCCTTTCACGACGGCGCAAAACAGAGCCGTTGCTGGCAAGCCCCGGCCAGCACCTCGGGAAACGGGACGAGTAAGGACTCCTAATTTCACGCGGTTTCTCCATCAGGAAAGGCTCGCCTTGCAGCAAGGGCGGCCGAGACGCAGACAACCCAGAGCGCCTTCCCACGGCTCCCTAAGCTCTGCTCTCCGCCCGCTGACGAGCCCACGTGTCCCTCGAGCCGCGCCGCCCCTACCTCGGAAGGGAATCTCGGCGTAGAGGCGCAGGTTTTCCTCCAGTCGCGCGTAATCCACTTTGCCTTGCGCCGTGAAGGGGGTGGCCAGGGGTGGATAGATGCCCCGCAGGTCCAGCCGCCGGCTGGGAGGTGCTGCTGCGGGCGGTGACGCAGCGGCGAAGCCCCTGCGGGCGCCCCCCACCCCAATCCCCGTGGGGTGCGGGCAAGCGCCTCTGGGCCAAAGCAGGGATAGGAGCCGCGGGGCTAGGGGCACCCTGGCCATTGCGTTGCCAGCGCTAGTGCCGGGCAACCTGGGCGCACAAGCGCCCTTAAGGAGGGCGGGGATACAGTTTATTAAGTCCTCCCCCGTGGGAAGGCCAGTTCACAGCTCGGCCTCTTGCAGCAGGAGACCCGTTATCAAACAAAGAGAAGCAAGAGGAGACCTGCCTTATACACGTAGGCACCCCTCCAGCGTGGATACAGGGTGTTCACATAGAAATGATGAGTACTTTTAGTGCTGGAACGCTACAAATACTTTGGCCTACAAATCCACCAGCCCCAGTCAGTACAGTCAGGGGTGAGGGATTGTGGGAGTTGTGGCACTCCTGCTCTTCTGGGCTACCAGTTGGGGACCCTGCTGTAGAAGCCCAAGCTCCACGAAAGACCCACTCTGTCCAGTGGCATTAAGCATTACTTTAGTGACCTAAATTAAGCATGCGTAGGACTGCAGCCTTTTAAGAATGGCGGGCAACATGTTTCTGTGTAAACCTGCTGAACAGCATGTAGGTACCCCACTCCTCTGCACCAGTTCCTGCTACCAATCCGCCCCTCACACGCTGTTCAGATCCCAGGGATTCTGCTGACAAAGAAGGTGCATGGAGACCTTCATTTGGTTTCCCAGAATAATGGGGACCTCGTGTTTGACAATCTGTCAGGAGTGCTTCTGCTGGGGGAAAAGCTTAAATGCTTTCTTTTGGGGGCTGGTGTTCTTTAAAAGCCCCAGAAAAGCCCAAGCCAGCTGAAGAGGGTTGTATGGCACAGCTGTCCCTTGCAGTGTGAGGGTTCTGGAAGAAACCCAGGAGGTATGAGGAGGAGCAGGAACGGAGCATGGGCCCATCACCAGTGAGTGTGACATCAGGATTAAGACCTCAGCCTGCACAGAGTGAGGAACAGGATGGCAACTGGACAAGTTGCTGGCAGGTAATAGGACTGCATGCATTGGTGCGTGATGGTGCCCCTTTTTTAGCTGCAGGGGAGTGTAAGTACAAACATAGTTACTTTTTGACATTTTAGGGTTGCCAGTTAATTTGAGTATGAAACAGCTGCTCTAACATGTAGTGTAACTTGCTTTAAATTTATTTTATTGTTTCCAGGGCCATGCTATCTATTGCTGTGTTGTTTTTTACCACTATGTGTTTGAAGTGGCTGGGTAAAGGAAAACAGCCATGGGGAGCTGGAATGTGGAGAGAAGACAGCAAGGCAGAAATGCTGCTTGACACTTTTCTTGTCATCTGCTTTTTCACTCAGAAAATCTCTGCCAAGCTGTATTTCTCTCACTTAGGAGGAAAGATTCTGGGACCTCATGAGCGAATTAAGTATTGCTGTTTGAGCAACTGGTGCATCTTTTTGAACATTTTTGTATGCAATCCCAAATTTGTTCATATGGAGAAAGGTCTTTGAACATAGTGGGAGTTACTTCCAAGTAAGCAAGCATAGCACTGTATTGCTAGTATGTTATTTCAGGTCCACCAAGTGTTCTGTCATAAGCATATTTAGACCAAAAAATGTACAACTCAAGCAATTCCCAGCCAGGGTTTTTTGTCTCAGTATATATATGATTGTGTCCTGAATCTGTTATGCATAAGCATGGAACACGTTAGCACTTTCTTTAATCTTTGAATGACTGCACTGACAGGAGAATGCTCTGCTTTCATTATGTACTAGACAGTAAAAGAGTGCTGTGAGCTAATGGATTTTAACATGTTGAATAGTAGATCTGATACTCATTTGCTGAGCCAGTTTGGCATGTGCTGTCCTGCTTATCCAGATCCTTTACAAGTTGGTAGTGAATGTGCCTCATGTACTACTGGAGACTGTATGAGCATGGTCTTCCCAAAAAACTACCGTGTTTTCTTTATACAGCTTGGGGGAAAGGACTAGTGTGCAGATTAATGATTACTGTCTAGTTAATTTGAGTATTAACTCAAATACACAGGATGGAGGTTCTGAGTGTAGCTGTCTAAGGGTTTTTATTCAACCCTTACAGGACCCTGTCATGCCTCAGTTGGTTCTCTCACCTTTCATTTCTGGAGCACTTCTGCTTTGCAGGCAGGGTCCATCTCTCATTGATGGCTTGCTGAACTCATCACTTTTGCAGAAGCTTATGCCAAGCCTACTCAGAGGTCACGAAGTTTGCTTTCTTAAGCTGTGAACCTATTTATCTCTTTGAATCTGTGCTCCTACAAATAGTGCAGTACAGACTGTACTGATCTTAGCACCACCATGGTGCAGTTGTTAGAATGTTGGGCTGGGGACCCAAAAGATCTGGATTTTAGTCCTCACTCTCAGATAAAGGTTCTAGTCCTCACTCTCATTCTCAGCCTAACCTCCCACACAAGGTTGTTGGGATAACAAGAAGTAGAAAAGGACTACCTAAGCCACCTTGGGTTCCTTGAAGGGGCAAAAAAATGGGATATCAACTTAATGTAAAAATAATAACTTGCTACACTGCCGCAATCTGAATGGCATGCTGCTGGAACATACGGCTATTGCCCATGGCTCTTAACTCATTTTGACCCAGTAGATATAAGATTAGCACTTGTTTACCTGGCAAGGTTCCTGTGCCTTTAACACTTGCGTGACAGCTTGAAATGTCACTTGATCGAGAATACTCCAGCTGTTGAATTTTTGTCCATCCTACAACTGTTAAAGCAGGGGATAGGCAACCCTGGTGCCCTCCAGTTATTTTGAACTCTAACTCCCATAAACCCCAACTAATTCCAAAACATCTGGAAGGCAGGTTGCCACTTTCATGTTCAAGTCACCAGTGCAACATGGCTGCCCAAGGAGGACAACAAATACTGGATGGGCTTTCCACTCTGCTTGGAAGCTTTATTGACTTTCATGTGTCTTTTCTGTTCATCTGTGCCTCATACTGGCATCTCTGTTGTGTCTGGTTCTTGCTTCTTCAGCACTTCTCTTGTGTCTGCCTGCCATAACTGCACCAGATCTGTAGGTGTCTTTCCAGCCTGTGGCAACAGAGGCAGAGGCATAAGAATGTAAGAAAAGCCATGCTGGATCAGACCAAAGGTCCATCTAGTCCAGCACAGTGGCCAACCAGCTGCCCACAGGACCCCTCAAGCAGGATGGGTGCAAGACCTCCTCCTGCCCAAGCTCCTCGGCAACTGGGGTATGCAGGCAGGCCAGCCCTGCTGAAGCAGGTGCCACTGATAGCCCCCTCCCTCATGAATCTGTCCACTCTCTTCTTAAAGCCATCCAGGTTGGTGGCCACCACTACCTTCTGTGGCAGCAAATTCCATAGTTTAACAATACATTGTGGGAAGAAGAACTTCCTTTTGTCTGTCCTGAATCTCCCACCAATGAGCTTCCTGGGATCACCACAGGTTCAAGTGTTATGGGAGAGGGAGAAAAATGTCTCCCTCTTCACTTTCTCCACACCTTGCATTACGTTAAACTCCTCTATCATGTCTCCCCTTATTTGCCTTTTTTCTAAGCTGAACAGCCCCAGTTATAAACATTTCTCACTGGGAAGCTGCCTCAGCCCCCTGATTATTTTTGTTGCCCTTCCCTGTACTTTTTTTTTGTAATCTGTACTCTGTGAAGGACTCAGTAATGCCCTTTTTCAGCTAAGTGACCAGAACTGAATGCAATATTCCAAGTGTGGTTATCCAAAGATATGCTTAAGGGAAGATTTTTGGCAGCTCTGTCTCTGTTCCATTCCTAATTGTGCCCAGCATGTAATTTGCCTTCTTCAGAGCAGCTGTGCACTGGGCCAACATTTTCACTGGATTGACCACTACTACCCCAAGATCCCTTTCCTGCTCAGTCGCTGCTAGTTCAGATCCCATCAGCTGGAAGTTTTTGTCCCAGCATGCATTATTCTACACTTGCTTATATTGAATGACATTTGCCATTTTGATGCCCATTCTTCCAACTTGGAGAGATTTCTTTGGAGCTCCTCACAATCCCTTTTAGTTTTAAATTCTCTAAAAATTTTAGTGTCATCAGCAAACCTGGCTGCTTCACTACCCGCTCCTATTTCCAGATCATTTATGAATAGGTTGAAAAGCATTTCTCCTTATACAGAACCCTGTGGGACTCCAGCCTGGTGACATCTCTCCATTGGGAGAAATTGCCATTTATTCCCACCCTCTGTCTTTAACCAGTTACTGATCCACAAGAGGACACCTACTTTTATTCCATGACTGCTCCGTTTGCTCAGGAACCTTTAGTGCAGGACTTTGTCAAAAACCTTTTGGGAGATCAAGTAAACAATGTCTACTTGCTCACCCCTACCTACATGCTTATTGAAACCCTCAAAGAGCTCCAATAGGTTAGTGAGACAAGGCTTCCCTTTGCAGAAGCCTTGCTGATTTTTTTCCAGCAAGGCTTTTCCCTCTATATGTTTTCTGATTCTATCTTTAATAAAGCTTTCAAGAAGTTTACTCAGTACAGATGTTAAACTAACTGGCCTGTGATTTCCCAGATCTCCCCTGGACCCCCTTTTTTTACGACAAGAAAGTTCAGCCTCCTTGTGTCATAAAATTGCAATTTCTAATGAAGAAATCTCCCAAAATGACATCAGAAGCTTCCATCATCTCAGGACCTGCACAAGAGTTCATCAAAATTCTGAAATGCCAACTAAATAGTATCTGGAAGCAAAGCAATTCTTCTGATCACTCAAGCCATATGAAAATGTCCCACTGACCAACATATGCTATCCAGTGTGTAGGCCACAAGGGGGCAACACTCACCAAGTTTTTGGCCATCATGTCTGCCCCATGCAGAATCAACAGCTTGATGATCTTGTAGCGATTGAGGCGCACAGCATCATGCAGGGCACTCTCCCCCTCCTGCAACAAACATGGGAAAGCCGCCATGTGTAGTACAAGAACAGGCCAGCAACAGGCACCAAAGCCAAGTTTGTCTCATCGTGTCCACATAAGAATAGGAAAAGTTGGCGAGGATTGCATTTGCTCAACATTGGAGAAGCAAAGAGCCACCTAATGAAGAGTTGATTTTAAAAAAGATTTTGGACTGCATGGAGATGGACAGATTGACTCTGTCTTTGAAGGAGAAGGAAGATACGTCCTTCTGTCAAACTTGGAATATTTTTATCATTGGTTGGAGAAAAGGGACTATGCGTAAAATGGAATATAGTTCTTAAATGTAAAAAAAAAAGAGCATGATGTCGACCCAGTATATCCGATGTCCTGAATAATTGTTGTTTTTAGTTTTAAATTTATAGAGAAAATAAAATTTGTTTTAAAAAAAGAATAGGAAAAGTCTAGCAGACAAATAGGCAAAAGTTCGTTCAGCTCTCTCAAGTCTGAATGTGTCAAATGTAACCTTGCTGCCAGAGAGGACATGAGCAAAGGCCACCAAAGGTTAAATCAGGCCAGCTAAACAAAGTCTGTGCTTGACACTGATGGGAAGAATTGCAGTTTTGCCATCTGTATAGGCAGAAGGAAATATAAATGAAGGATCTCTCACTTTGTGTATCCCTCGTTGGAAATAACTAGACAGGTATGGTATTCACCGGGATAGAGGAAAACTCACTCCCTTATTGAAAAGAAAATGTACATTAGGGCTGTGATTCAAGAACTGAAGTTAGTAGGGGATTGGTAAGGCTTTTCTTTTAAGACTACTGCACCACTTTTTCAGATTTACGTAGAAACAGAGCGAGGTAGAAGGGGCCTCCCGGGCCAACTAGTCTGACCCTTGGCTCCAGTCAGCGCCACTCATGACCATGAAAAAAAATTACCTTTCTCTTCATTTTGCTTCTCTTGCTTGATTTATTCTGTGCGTGCGTGCGTGCATACATGCATCTTGCTTTATGAACCACATCTCATTTTCCTGTGTATTATATATTGCATGATATCCCGCCATTCTCCAACATGCTAATAGCATCATGATTCTTACACGTTGCTGTGTATGTGTGCAATTGCCGTTATGCACTGTAAACCACTGGAGAGAGAGGAGCTGTATGTTTCAAAGTATAGCTTGCCAAAAAGGTTGTTTCTTACCCGGTCAAGGGAACTGATATCCACTCCATTGTTTAGCAAGTGCTCCACAATGTCAATCATGCCAGTGCGGGTGGCCACATGGAGAGGGGTGCTGAGAAGCTGAGTTTGAGGCAGCAGTGAATAAATGTAAGATATCAAAGAAAAGAAGAAGAGACGAGATTTCAGATTAGTTCCACCATTTCCACTGTGTGCTCAGGTTCTTTCTTCTGGAAGGAATTACAAGATCCCTCAATTCTCTGGATGCTCAGTTCTTCCTGTTCAACCCAAACCAAACCCCTTCAATGTCCAACTTGCCCACCCTTCTCCTTTGTTACAATTTCTTCCACAGTGTTGCTGTCCCACTACGAACCAAACCCTGGAATCCCCATCCCTCGGCTTACCTTGTCCTTGACATTCAGATTGGCTCCCTTCTCCTGCAACAGCTTCACCACATCCAGATGTCCGCCACGGCAAGCCCAGTGCATGGCGGTGGCGTCCAGCTGTCAGCAAGCATCACATTTATCATGAGAGGAGCGCCTTTCCATCCTGCATTTACATGCACCCCCATCCTTCTTTGAGACCCCCCTTTTCAGTTCCATGCAATGGCATTTCTCAGCCTCACATTAATTCGTGGAAAGTTCTAGAGTCAATTTTGTACCCAGAGCACATTGTCAATCAGAGGTGGGGCCCAAACCAGCTTTCACGTGTTCCCCACATGGCCACTGGTTCCAGCCTGGTTTCCCCAACCACAAATCAATAGCAGTTTCTTGGCCCTTGTGAATTTTTCCCTATTCTAAAAGACTGAAATACCTCTTTTAAAGCTTAGTTGCTCATAGTCAGAACTTCCAGCGAAAATATGCTGGGGATTGTTGTATTTTTGGTGCCACCCTTTTGGCCTTTGGCCGCAGCCACCACTGGAATGTAACCCAGGAAAGTTTTCCAAAATTGAGTTTGGCTCTGGTGCTGAAGATGTCCCTTGCCCTTGCCATAAAAACTTCCTTTGCCCAAAGAGAACATGGTGGAGACAAGAGTAGGCATAAAGAGTATAATGCAATGAGCGGTGTCTTACTCGATCTCTGAAGTCAACAGTGGCACCTCGGGCCAAAAGTTTCTCTGCAATCTCTATGTATCCCTCAAGGGAGACACGGTGCAAAGCTGTCCTGCGGAACTAAGTGAGAAACATAGTTAGGTCTTCAGCAAAGGACTGATGGCAAAAGAAGGCTGAATGACAGTGGATGGCTAAAGCTCTTGCACACTGGGTTTCCCCTCTTTTCAAATCTTTGCTAACCCCAGCCTTCCCCTGTCTACCCATATTAACATTCCATATGCTTTTGTAAAACAAATTTGTGCATTTCTTTAATTTCCAGTATACCAACTGAGGAAGTTTTCCCCACTGCAGGTTTTACTGAGCTGTGTCCAAGAACACCGGGACCCTGTCTGGCTTCTCAATTTCTCTAATTCTAGAACTGGGTATGATCCAACATTCACTGATTTCTCTCCAGAAGTGTTCTAAGAAGTCATCCACCAAATGCTCTTATCTGTATTGTGTTTTGCTAAAGCATTACTTTCCAGAAAGAAAGAAAATGCTGCTTCTCCCATTCCCAAGCAATCTATTCCAACATGTAATGTAGTTTTATAATAAACAAAAGCCTTATTTCTCTCTGGAGTTGGTCTAGCAGCCTTCCCCAGCCTGGTGTTATCCAGATGTTTTGGATTTCAACTCCCATCAGCCCAGTCAGAATAGCTACGTGTCAGAAATGCTGGAAGTTGTAGGGCAAAGCATCTGGACAAACACCAGGTTGGGGAAGTATAATTTTTAAATAGAAAAGAGTCCTGTGCCCTTGGCCTCAAAGAATGGATGATCTAAGATATTGTTCTTGCATGATCCAAAGCAATTCTGGCTATTATTCGTCCTTTGAATATTAGAATTTTCCCCTTTTTTACACTTCGCAGATTTGACATTCTTCTCTCATGGGACACACTGTCCTCAGTGTAGAGTTTCACCCTTCCCAGTGAACCAACATTCACATTCATCGCACCATGGAAAGGGGAACACAAGTTATGGGAAAGTGTGTGAGGGATGTAGCGAACGTGCCCAGCATCCAAAAGCCAGGTTAGATTTTGAAGCCTTCTGATTGTTAGGAGGAGCACCAGAGATAATTGCTTTTCCCCAGCATATAATTGCTTTTCCCAAGAGTTGCTTTTGCCTTTACTGAAGCTGTGCTGCTCCTTTCCCTCCGCCAATAAATGGAGGTTAGGGGAGAGGAACTTCATGGAAAGAGGCGTGGTCGTTTCTTTTCAGCTTGGGCTCAGCCAGGCAGCTTTGGGGGTCTAAATCCCGCTGCCTATTCAAGGAACTGGTATGTCCACAGATAAAGGGAGTGTGTGTTTTGTTTTATTTCATCATTGTATTCTGTAAATGTATATTATTTTTGACACAAGTGGTTTTGTTTCAGCCTGCAATCTGAAATGCAGTGCCTTGGCTGGACTTGGCCCCTCGGAGTGGATAAAGGTGATAAATGCTGCAGCTTTACATTACCTCATCACAGGTGTCGGGGGACCCCCCATCTTCCAGAAACTTGTCTACCACGTGCACCTTGCCTTGCACTGCAGCTTTCAAGAAATCCTCTTCTGTGATGGGTCCTTTCTGTAGGGGAGGATTGATGTTTTAATAGGGGCTGCTTTTGAGCCATATTACAGGAAATACTTCTCAAAAAACTGAGGAAGGACCTGGCCATAGTGGATCGCTAAGCAAGCAGGTACAGTTTTGCATGGGACAGGGGTTATACATTTAGAGAAGCCTCCAACCCCTAAGAGGGCACTGGCTGTATCCCATCCTGCTTCTGCGTCTCAGAGTACAGCCTGGGTAAATCTTGGCCTTCTAGCTGTTTCTCCAGTATCCCCTTTTTCCTCGCCCAGCCCCTTTCCATACAATCTCCTCTGGCTCAGGCTCTGGTTTCTTCTCCTCCTTCTTCTTTCTGGGCTTTTTGCGTAGCTCAAAGAGGTATTGGGTGCCGCCAACTTCAATGATTTCCCGCCTCAGGTCCACAGAACTCTTCCGCACCCTTTCTTGTCCCTGTAGGAGGATAACAAGATATACAAAACTCTCTTGCTTATCATATCCAGAGGGGTAGTTATTTTACATGGTTGCAGAAAAAAAACCAAAGACTCACACGTGGCACCTTAAAAACAGATTTAGGATGCAATCTATGCCCTGCATTCATAATTTACATGTATTCTATGTCCAGAACAAGGTGTAGTAGCAATCTTTGCCACAACCACACCTTAGAGCCAGCATTTTATCCAGAAGGCTGTGCAAAGTGCCAGGAAGAAGGTGGGAAGGAGGTAAGGATGTTGATAAGAATTAGCGTATGTCCTTAGCTCCCCACCCATGCACCCTGACATCCCCCCTTACCCCCTCTCACCTCAGGGTTCTTTCCAAGCCAGCTGCAAGCGTGGGTTCGGGGGGGGGGACTTGGCCTTCAGAGTCTCAACTCCAAGATTGCAAGATCTCAGACTGGGATTCCAAATAATCTCAAACCTCCCAAATGATCTCAGAAGGCCATACAAGTGCACCCTTAATGTGGCATAAGCTTTGGTAGACTAGAGACCATTTCATCAGATGTATGAAAGCTTAGATTGGCAGGTATAATAGACTGTAAGGGGAGACAGTCCAGTGACTTTCAGGTATTTTGGACAACAGTTCCTGTCAGCTCTGTTCAACACGGCCAATGACTTGGGGTCATGAGAGTTGCAGTCCAAAAGATCTGGAAGACACCAAATTGTTTATCACATGGTGTAAAGAGTTGACATGGATGTAGAGAGAAGGAAAATGTAAGCAATGAGGTCAGAGGGAAACAAAATGCAAGAATTACATGCTGTGATGATTGCATTCAAGCTTTCATGCATGTAAATAATTACATTGATCATTATCACTGTGTTTTTCTCTTTCTGCCTATTGTCCCCTTAATGGCAAGGATTCTCATTCTTTTTTTTTTTCCTGTTGTGACCAAGGGCTTGGTGATCAAAGGGCTTATTTTTGTCTCTCTTTACTCCCGGCATTAAAATTGGCACTGCAATAAGGAATGCAGAGTCCTGCTGACTCAGTTTGGCTTCTCTTCTTTCACTCAGGAAGAGAGCAAATTCTTCTATATGCCTGTTTCAAAGATCCTAGAGAGGAACAAAACTGTTACAGATTCCAAACAAGATGCCCTGCTGGGCTGAGAAATGAGGTTGGAGAGGTGAGGCGTAGTTTTAACCTGGAGCAATCTGCCTAGGAACCTCTGGGCTAAGCCCTGAAGCTTCTTTGTCTCATCTTTTCCCTTCAAAGCCAAGGTTCATCTCTGGAGGGGGAAAATTAGAAGAGAGTTTCAGCATATGCAGAGTATGCCACTCATGCCACTCAGTAGAAACAGCTTATCTGTTTCCACCTGAAGAGCACATGAAGGGTTAGGGTTGGGGTCATCTAGTCTAGCATTCTATTCACAGAGTGGCCAACTGGCTGCTCACAAGCAGGACATGAGTGCAACAGAACCCTCTTGCCCATGTTCCCCAGCAACTCATATACCTAGGCTTACTGACTCTGATGCTGAATAATAGCCATCATGACTAATATTGGCTGATAGCTCTCCATGAATTTGCCCCATTCCCTTTTAAATCCATCCAAATTGGTAACCCACACTGCATCCTGTGGAAGTGAAATCTTTAGTTAAAATATGTGCTGTGTGAAGAAGGACTTCTTGAAATATTTCTGACCTGAATCTCCCACCGGTCGACCATATGAGATGACTCTAGTTTCTGTGATCATGAAAGGGAGCAAAAATGTCTCCCTCTGCACTTTCTCTAAACAATGCAGTTTGAAGAGACACTTTTGGAACTTGCAATCACTTTTTGTTTCAACCTCACTAAATAATTTTGGTGTCATCAGCAAACTTGGCCATTTCACCGTTCGCTCTTGGTTCCAGATCACTGATGAATAAGTTGAAGAGACAGACTTCCTTCCATTGCTTATGTCCCTCTACTGGAAGGATGTACCATTTCTTCCTATTCTCTGCTTTCTGTTCCTTAACCAGTTACTGCTTCATATATGCCTCCCCACCATTATTCTAGACTGCTAAGCTCGCTCAGGAGTTTCTAGTAAGGGACTTTGCCAAATACTTTTTCGAGGTTCAAGTAAAAAAATATCTACCAGATCACATGTTTGGCCACATACCAGATCTTGGCCACATGTTTATTGACACTCTCAAATAACACCCTTTGGAATTAGGGAGTGTGGTTTCCAGACAAGCCTGAACTCCAGCCCTCCACTGGTAAAGGAACCATTGCTGAGAACAGAAGAAAAATGATGCTGGGTCAGACACACGGTCCATCTAGTTCAGTGCTCCATAAACATGGTGGCAAACCGGCTGCCCACAGAATCCTGCAAGCTGATCACTGTGCCCAGAAGAATAGGATCCAAGGGCCACATGCGGCCCTCTCACCTTAAGCCCCTCCAGGCCTTTGTTGATAAGTCCATGTCTCTTCTCATCTTCCAGAAGTGGGGTGTCCATTCGTGCCACTGCTGGGGGCAGTTCAGGGGGGCAGGAGCATTGTTTCTGGGTAAAATAAATAAGAAATGGGAAACTATTGAAGACTCATGTACCAAGCCCCAGTCTTTAGCTATGGGGAAAGGTAGTTGTGACTTTGCTTTTCACAAACACTGAAAATAGGATACAATTATGGACCACAGTTATAAACAATAAACAGACTTTGCAAAAGCTATTTTTAAAGAACATGTTCCTGCAAATTGCATGTGCAGCCCAGTTCAGACGGCTCTACTGGATTCATTCACTGTCCATATCAGTATAGACCAAGGTTAGTTTAATATTTGCTTTCCTCTTTTCATTTTCCCAGTGTTGCCTGATGCAACTTATCTCTTAACCTGTCCAAAATACTCAGAGTTTGGGGTATTTTGAGAGGTAAGGAAAGGATAGCTGCCTGGCATAGCAGCATCAACATTAAACATTATAACATGAATATTCAGTATAGTTCCCCTTTCTTTTTTTATCAACATTTGAATTCCAAAGAAGGGGGCTTGGAAATATATTGAAACCTGCTGCTTCAAGGAACTGCTTGTTGCCCTTTCCTTTGGTTGGCAAGAACAATTAGATAATTCTTCATGGGTCAAAGTCCCCCATGGAATATTTTACAATAATCATCCAGGTCTCAGCCAGTAGAGTTTTGTCTAGCCTGTGAACCCCTGGAAACTAGTCCCATTTGAGCCCTTGAGCCTCACCTTTTGCTCTTCCTCTAGAGCCAACTTCTGTTCAATCAGTTCCGTTGCCCATTTCACCTCCTGGTCTGCATTCATCTTCCCTGCTTGTTCTGGTGCTGCAAGTCCTCCTGAGCACACCACAGATCCTAGTTGAGCTATCTTTCCAGGTTTTCCACCATAAACACAGATTCTACCCTTGTCCTCCTGCAGCCACTGTTATAAGATCTGATCCCTGTCCTGTCCCGAGCGAAAATTCTATTAACTTCCGCCCCACAGATGCTTTTGTCATGAGCTCAGCCCATCACATTCTTTCCTTGTCCGACTGCTCACAGATCACCTTCCTAAAATGACCCATTTTGTAGTCAGTTCTCTTTTCCCAATAGGGAAATGGACACAGAAATTGGCAGAACCCCATTAGTTCCACATAGGCTGATGTCTTACTCCTGCTTAGACTAGGGACAGAAATTGTGGCTGTGCCTAGTCCAAGTCTCCAAAGTTTCAAATGAGTCATCAGCACTCTTAGCAGATTTATCTGTCATACTAGAAACTCCACAAGCCTGTGGATACTCTCCCTCCAAAGAGGGGGTCTCATGCGGAACTGCCATTCATAATTTCAAGAAAGTCCATTTGGAGCTACAGCATTTGAAAGAAGGATCTAATTTCTGTATTGTTTCAGCATTCCCCTACCTGAAGCCCCCCAGATGTGTCTGACTACATGTCCCATCATCCCCAGCCAGCACAGCCACTCGAAGGCACCCGTTGGTGGAGGTTATTCAAATACACAAACAAGCCATGCTTCTCCTGCAAAGACTGCAAGGTTTGGGGCATCAAGAATAACTCCTTCATGCAAGGGCCACCAGTCAACTGACGGCTAAAATCCCTCCATGGCTTGGCTTCGGTGTCACTCTGCTTCTATGCAGATAGATTCCCTACCTCTGTGGGAAGAAGAATCAAGCATGAATATATCCTACGTAGCTGCTGCTTAAAACATTCGCCCTTTGCAATGGGTGCCACATATTCTGGAGGGGCCTGCTTACATGGGCACACAGCCAAACAGGAGGGCTCTGCCAGGAAACCACTTGCCAAGCAGACAGCTCAGACATAAAGCCTGGAACAAGAAAGCAGGGGAGAGTCTGAACAACACTGGGGACACTAGGAATGGTTGAGCTGGGAGCTATTTATGGTGACGGACATATTTCTGCCTCTTACCATTTTAGGGCCCTCAATTGTACTATGACAAGCAGTGCTACTTAAATCATTCCCAGGGCTAGCTAGTGACCTCAACCGGGAGGTTGAGAAACAAATGTCTCCCTCCCCATTTCGATGTGCTTAGTACCCTAAACTGGTAAAGCCACTTTGGGACCCAAGGCAGAAAATTTCCCTGCCTAACAGTAAAATTTCAATCATACTGAATTAAACAGCAATTCGCTGTCTTTTCATGATTATTATTTATGATGATGATGATGATGATGATGATGATGATGATGATGATATTCAGATTGCTGTCTCAGACCTCAACTCTGCCTAATGGCAAGCCCAGCCCTGATCGTTCGCAAGAGTGCTCAGGTGTTCTGTGTGAAGGGATGGGAATAAAATCCTGGTTCTGAACAAGATGCCAGAGAAAGCAACAGGCTTCCTTCCAAGTGTGGATAACAGCTTCCATAGGGCTACGGGCCAGAACGAACCACTGCAGTCAACCATGACTTCTCATTTTGGGGTGGAGGACAAGGAAAAGGCCAATGTATCTGAACATACTTTTGTCCCTATTACAATGGAGTTCAAACTTCCAGATGCTCTCCTGGCCATCAACCCAGTTCCATGAGCTATGTCAATAGTCTTGAGCCCAAGCCAAGCTGCACACCCCATTCCCACCTACAGAAGGTAAGCAAGCTCATATATCACATAGATTACAAATAGATTTTTAAAAGGTTATCTCTTAAGTATCAGAACAAGATAACAAACTGGCCCACCCTTGTAACTTGCAAGCCTGAACTTGTGGAATGTTCAGTACAACTTTATATTGACAACAGAAACATCATTTCTCTATATGAATGAGATATTAACCAATTTTATAACTTAGTAAAGGTGGATGCCACTTTATACAAAACTTAGTACACACACATTTGAGGAAAGTATATAGTAGTGCATGTACAAGTCTACACATATAGGTGTGAAGAGTTTATAGGAGTTCCTAATTGGTCGAAACTGGGTTCAAGCCCACAATCAATTGCCATTCAGAAGTAGCATATGCAGCATTACATGAACTGGTATACACACATTTATATGACCATTTAAAAACTTCTGTCAAGCTGCTGTTCTGCCAAGCTGATCTGTGCCGCAACTCATTATGGTCATTTCCCCATCTCCTCCCTGTTATGCTTTGAGCATGTTGTGAGCAGAGCCGGCTGGAGCCGGGGTCAGACTAGATGGCCCGGGAGGCCATCTGACTCGCTCTGTCTCTGTTTCTATGCTTTGCTAATGGGCAGTTTAGATCTGTCCATAGACTGGAGAACATCATACAGAAACTTGTTGAATGACCCTCTTCCACTCTCTTTTAAAGAAAAGATTGGTATGGCAATAATCCTGGGCTGTACTAATATGATCATGAAATGTATTATTTTTGTAGGCCTCATTTTGAACATTTACATTGAATATATCCAATATAAAATCTGTATTTAAGGGCTAGCCAAGGTATTACAATAGAAACACGCCATCCCAATCCATGTTTTCTTCAGAATGCTATAGTAAGGACTTCAGGGTGTATAATCCTTCCCACACAAATGAAAGCAAGCCTAACAGAAGGAAAAATGTTCTGCGCGATGAAGCACATGCAGGGGAGAAATGGTGGGCATTAGTACCACTTACTTCCATGTAAAGATCTCTCTGTATGTGCCTTATCCCAGCCCATGCATTCCTTGGCAATGTAGTTCCAACCACATATTTGGTCAGATTACTTCTAGATTCACCTTGAAAGCTAGCATTGCCTTTCACTAGAGTTTCCTGTTTTTAGCTGGTTGTCTCATACAAATTGCTCAGCAAAGCCATGCTGGATCAGACCAATGCTCCATCTAGTTCAGCAGTCTGTTCACCCAGTGGCCAACCAGCTTCCCATAGGAACCTAAAAGCAGGATATGAGTGCAAAAGCACCTCATGACCACATTCCCCAGCAACTGGTATACATAGGCACACTGCTTCTGCTACTGAAGGTAGCATCTATCCATCAGGACTTGTAGTCATTGATAGCAGCCACCTGTATGAATTTGTCCAATCTCCTTTTAAAGCTGTCCAAATTGGTGGCTATCAGTATACTGCATGAAAGTGAATTCCATGCACTTTCATCTGTGGTGAAACTTCCACCAGCCAAGCTACATGGGAAGAGTCCGATATTTGGTACTATGGGAGGGGAAGAAAAATATATCCCTCTCCACTATCTGCACGTCATGCATAATTCTGTATACCTCTGTCACGTCACCCTTTACTCACTTTTTTCCCCTAAACTACTAAACAATTTCAGCTGTTGCAACCTTTCCTTGCAGAGGAGTTGCTCCAAACACTTCATCATTTTAGTGACCCTTTCTGCACTTTTTCCAACTTTGCATACTTTTCGATGCCCTGACTAGAACAGTACACAATATTCTGAGGCTGCACAAAGATTTGTAAAAGGGCAGTACTGCACTGACAGTTTTTTCAACTTCTTTCCTAATTATGCCTAACATATGTTTGCCTTTTTCATAGCAGCCACACACTGAATCAACATTTTCATTGAGCTGTCCACCTCAACCCCAAGACCCCTTTCTTGGTCATTCTTTACCAGCTCTGATCTCATCAGCTTATATTTAAACTTGGGATTTTTTTTGCCCCACACAATTTCAGTGTGCGTTACTTTACACTGGCTTATCCTGAACCACATCTGCCATTTTGTACTAATTCTCCTGATTTAGAGAGAAAGCTCCTCCCAATCCGTTAAGTTTTTAACCACCCTGAACAGTTCGGTGTCATCAGCATCTCCCTTGTAGAAGTATTAGGGCATAGTATTACAAATGTTAGCTAGATGCCAGTTTCTTCTTAGGCTAAGAATGGAATTCAGATTACTTAATTTGACAGTCTATTCCTTCCTACTAAATATTTTAATGCTTGCTAATATGACGGAACAAAATCAAGTATCAGCTGAATCAGGCTCAGGGCTCGTTGGAAAAGGCTTTATTGATAAATTACACTGATACCTATATACATATAGAAGTACCATCCTCCATTTTCCCCATATCAGACCTTATCTGAATGAGGTACTGTCCATATATCCAGGATGAGCATCTGTCTCATCAAAGGTGATTGTGCAAACAGGGCCAACCTCAGCATTAGCAAGGTCTAGAAATGGGGAACTAGCATTGGTAGGGTATCGGACAGTGTGTTCTGGCCTTGGGCCTGGTGCGGTCCCTCATGTGAGGGACACTTTGGTCTCCAGCTTCCTACAAAAGGTTCTCAGTGCCCAAATGGCAAGAGCTACATGCAGCTCCTGAAGGGGATATGCCTGCAATCCATCATACAGACTTCAAGCCCCAGTGCAGGGAGCTCCACTTCAGCTGGAGCTGAGGAGCAGAGGTGGAAGGCTTGTGTTTCGGTGCCAGCCGAGCCCAGAGCCTGGAATTGGGGGATGGGGTGGAGAGAAGGTCCAGTCCTTTGGGGTTTGGGGCAGTAAAAAACTGGCCCAAAGGGCCATGAGAGGCAACCTATGAGGAGAAACCAGTGCCCGTTTGTGCTCTGGCTTGGCTTGCTTGCTGCACGTAAACTGTGCCTTGAAGCAAGTAAACCTGTGCAACTTCTCGAGAGCTGCTGTGGAATCTTGCAGCTCTGGTTCTGAGGGTGCCCTTGGCTTCCCCAGGCAAAGGAGCAGGCGCCCGTGATCACATGCTTCAGCTCAGTCCCTGGGCCACAGCATGGGGCCCATGCCAACTGCCCCCGGCTCAGTTCCTTGGCGCAGGTGGTTGATTGATGATGACTTGGATGACAAAGTCCTTCTGGATCTTGGTCTCCTGCAGGCGGGTTCTGTCTGTCAAGAGTTTGCCAGAGAAAAACCAGCGCTGCCATGATGGCTCCAGTCCTTCCTGGGCATAGAGCTGCTTCTTCAGTTGCCCAATTGTATCCGTCATGCTGGCACTCAGGCGCAAGTCCTTGCCAGTGGAGAGGCGCACTTTGAGAGGGAACTCACGTCGGGTGTTGGGTGCTGGCTCTGGAGGCTCCACACCCTCCTCCTCACTCCACTCCATAATCAGGTTGACAGGTGGTGCTAGGCAGTAAACGGGGAGCTGGTACCGGTTTCCCAATTCATCGTAGCACTCCGTAAGGGAGCCTGTAGGGAAATGAAGACACCAATAGAGGGCATGAGACACACACACACACATCCTCAAGTCTGTTTTGAGATCCTCAGTTCGGTATCAAAGACTTCCAGATATAATCTAGTCTTTCTCCAAAAGCTACTGTCCACCTAAGGGCAAGATACTCCTCAAATCGGACCATGGTTTCCGTGTCCTAGACTATGAGTGGGCAGATCTCCAGCTGCTTTGGACTTCAACTCCCAGGAGCTCCTGCCAAATAGCGAATAGTCAGGAATGCTGAGAACTGAAGTCCAAAATAGTTTTCCTTTCTGTCCATCCGTTTCCTAGCCTTCTTCTAGTTTTATCATGGAATCCTCAGACCCTCCGCCAGCATATGGATACCCACAAAACTAGGAATGAATTTGCTTGTTTATTTATTATATTTACACCCCATCTTTTTTCCTTTCAAGAATTCAAGATGTCTTACATAAATCTCCTTCTCTCAGTCTTATCTTTTCAACAAAAACCCTGTGAGGTAGGCTGGGCTGAGAGTCTGTGAGTGGCCCAAGTCTCCTGGCAGAGTGGGGGCTAGAAACCATATCTCTTGAGTCACATAGCACAACAAGCAACCCTGTTTTGTTTCCATGGCATGTTTGTCTGAATGATCAAATGGTTTCTACTCTACCATGATTGCCACCCTCTTTGCTCACTTCTCCCACAGTTGGCACATATCCCATCAGCCACTGTGCCTGAAATTCAGTCCCACACTGGATGGCTGGAGCAGGTCCTGCAGCTGCAGCTCTTTTAAGGGGACTATGTGTTGGGGATGAAAGAAGCCATTGTTCTGGATGTGCAGTTCAGGGCCAGGGTGACACCAACACCAGCTCCTCAGTTGGCGATGGTGAAGCCTGGGAAGTGAGACCTGCAGACACAGGTATGGTGAAGCAGGGAGAGCTTATTTTAAGGCCACTGTCTCCAGCTGTTCAGGCAGATCCTGGGAACCAGGAGGGGCTGGAAATGCTGGGAGGGGACGTGGGAGAAGAGCCAGAGGAGCTTGGTCTAATCCTTGACCCCATGATGTGGTGTCAGGAGAGAAAGGCTAGCCAACTAGAAGGCCTGTGCACTAGGAGGCTTGCCTATCTCCAGAGGGTCACTCCCAGAGCAGTGCAGTCCAGGATAACTCAGAAGGAAGGTTCTCAGAAATAGTTTCTAGTTTGGGTTCAGTTCTGTGCATGCTCAGAGCCTTTGCTGGCTATAGCTTGCTGGATATTCATTGGCACTAAAGAGCTTTTACCAAAGAACAGTCTGATGCTTGAAAGGTAGAAGGGGGAAACCTAGCTCCCAACACTTTGTGGTGGCTGCATACCAGGACTGTGGAAATCATGATGCCAGGTTTGGATAACTTGAGAAACTATGGTGAAATGTGGAAACCACAGAACAGACTGTCCTTTCTTATCATGGTTTCTGAAAACCAATTGTCCCATGCTGAAGTAACACAACAGGGTTTGGATGACACAACAGACCATTCTGTACAAGAAATCACCATGGCTTGTCATGTCAAGCAAGCCTGCCTTAGAAGTGAAACCCACCAGCCACCCTAGGGTGCAAGATACACTGGCCCTTCTTCTCTTTGGCTCTGTAGGACAGGAGTTGGCAACACAAGGTCTGTGGGCTGCATGCAGCTGTCTGGCCTTTTGTGCAATCGGACTCCCCCTGTATTAGGATCTGCCTTTTCCTTATGGATGGATGTGAGATTGCCCAGCCTCTAGTTCTGTTGTCTCTTCTGCTAGAGTTGAGTGGAACCTGTCCAAGGCAGTTTCTTTGGACCAGTGACAAAACTTCCCTATATCTGATGGAAGATCCTCTAAACACCCTCACCATCCACACATCCCTGGAAACTCACTGTTGCCCTGCAGCTGAAGGAAAACAGAGCGAGGCTGAGCAATCCTGTTCCGCCATCTGGGGAACATTGCTTAATCCGTATGTGGACCAGGCAATCATTGGCTAGCAGACATGAGATGAATTTGCCGTTTTGGTCTTTTCTGTTGAAACTGATGTGGCCAATCTGTCTCCTTGCTTATGTTCTCCTGGATTCTTTGTTGACATTATTCCAGAAACAACTGTGTACAAAGTCTTATGAAGAGGTCACACAGCTCTGTAACTTTTAAATAGCAGACTTAGGGGCATTTCATATACTTTACGGTAGCAAACCCATTTATCTTAGCATGTACAGGAAGGCATGGCCAGCCCTGGCTTCTGGGTGTGTTCACCTCTACAATAATAAATACAGAGTTGCTGCATATACATGCACACCTGCCAAGTTTACTTGGACTTTGGCAGTAGGGAGTTTTGAAGCATTGATTTCTGTCTGGTTAGAGGAGTCTCTGTTATGCAGACCTGCTTCTGCCTAGCACTAGGGATATGGGAAGAGAACTTAGCCCTGTGATAGTCTGGCTTCCTCACATACCATGGGGCAAGGTAACTCCAGCACCATCAATAATGGCCTGTGCTAGCCCATGATCATTTGCCTCCACAGCATAGGCAGCTGCTTTGAGTGCATCCCAGATCTCTTTGCGGCCTTCAAAGGCAGGTGCAGTGTCCCAGAACTCATCCCGCTTGCTCCGTAACTGTCCATCTGTCATGGGGTAGTCGCTCTTCCATTTGGGCCGCTCCTTCTTTAAAGGCTCATTACGACCTGCAAAGAGAGAAAGGGAAATGTCAAATGGTATTCAAACACAGAAATCCTGTAGCCTTCTGGACCTGGCCTCCTTCCTCTTGCAGTCACTGATCCATCTTTTTCACACCTGAGCCCCCTGCATAGATCTTTTCACACACATGCAGCCCCCTGAATAGATTAACACATACACTGTCTCGTCAGGTGCATGGCATAGGTCACATGGCCAGTGACAAATGCTCTCTTGCACATCCACAATCCCTGGCAATATTTATAGCTCAGGGTATTAGCCAACGTTTAAGCTACAGAACTGGAGCCTGCTAGATTGTGAGGCTGGGGAAGGATGAAGCAAAGATGCTCAGAGGGGAAGATAGTCCTCTTCCTGGTTCTGATGTTGATCCTCAGATTACTTATTCAATGCTTGCTCTTTTACTAGAGACAGGATCAATTCATTACATGCTTACCTTAAGATATGTATTCATGTGTGTTTATAAGCTTGCACACACACGCATTCTCATTCACTCAATAGAAAAGGAAACCCTTCTAAATTCAGAAAAACCTCCTACATCCCTCCTCAGTTTCCCATTCTGTGTATGTTCATTTCTTTTATGCTCATCTCTGTATAAATCTTTTCCATCATCCCTGTTTTGGTCCTCCAATCCTTTTCTAATTTTCCCATCAAAATTCGTTATCCAAATAGTATATGCAAAAATCTAGCTGACCTCTAGTTTTTTGTTATATTTATATCCCACCTTTTTTCCTTCCAAAGAACTCAAGGTGGCTTACTTAATTATCTTCCTGCTCGCAATCTCTTATCCTCACAACAACAACCCTGTAAGGTAGGTTGAGCTAAAAGTCTGTGACTGACCAAAAGTCACTCAGTTGGCTCCATGGCTGAATGGGGACTAAAACCCAGATCACCTGAATCCCAGTCCCATCTTCTTAACCACTACACCACACTGAAGCACAGAGCAAGACAACTAAGTGAAAATCTTTTTCTAGAGAAATGACAGACAAAGACTGAACAGAGATGAACTAACAAGTGCCACATTTCTCTTAATTGCTTTGAATAACAGGGACAATAGATGAAGTATACATCAAATTTAATGGAGGATATAAAATGTGGATTTTCTAAAAAACAACCCCACAGAGAATAGTCTAAATTTTCTCTAAGCTCTTGAAAAAGGAGATCTGTGCTAAGAACACAATTCAATGAAATGTGATAAGATACCTATAACTGTACCACAGAAAAGAATGTAAGAATTCTTACATATATAAGAAACAGTTCACGGACACTGCATTTGGAGAGCAGGCTAAGCACTGGAGTTAGCAGTGTGGTACCCATGAGCACCAATATATTCTCCAGCACCTGTCAGGGCCTCTGACCTCTCCTGACTTTTTAATATTTTTATTAAAAAACCTAATGTCTTGCTGGTTGCTGCAGTAATTTCAGGGGGAAGCAAAGGCCACGAGCTACTGCCATCTTCATTTTTCATCCTTAAGAAGTAAAGACAGTCAGTGATGGGAAGCCAATATGTCACAGTGAAGGGCTGCCAGCTGCCCCCTCAAAAGAAAAAGAGCAGAAGAAAGAGGGACCTCAGCTCTGTCTGCATAAGCCATGCAGGGAGAGTTGGGGAAAGAGGTGGGAGCAAACATGTGTTTTGTATTTGTGTGTGTTTGCTATGGCTGGCTGGGTTTTGTGTGTCTGTTTTGTGAATACACTGTTCCCACAATGGCAGCCATGTTATGATGTGCTCAGAACCCAACACCTCCTTAATATTCAAAAGGTACTCACTGGCCCAAAAAGGACTGGAGATACTCTAGCAGAACTAAACTCGAGCCCACTGCTGTGGTGCAAAAAGTCAATGCCATTAACAACCCTATCTGAGACCACTGGGGTTGATAGAAAGCTATTAAGAAAGTGCTTCCCATGCCTCCCAGCACCGCCCAGAGAGACTTGGCACTTTTTCCGAGGGAAGGTGCAGAATTGCCACTTCCTTGACTAATGCTCTAGAAAGTTCTGAAACAATCCTGCACAGGCACAAAGAGCACAAAGAAGGAAATATCTAAGACTCGGGGTATAACTGTCGCTTGTAGATATTGGTAGAACCAGTGATGAGTGGCAAACAGTACCAGCATTAAGAGGCTAATGAATATGAGGAAGAAAGAAAACTGTGGGAGATGTTCTGTTCTCCAAAGTATTATATGAGTAGAAGAGAAGCTCTGCCATGACTAGGCTCTGCCATGCCTAGTCACATTATAATCTCTCTCAGGGTGGAGCACTAAGACAAAAACCCTAGGCAAACATAGTTTGAAGTGATTTTCCATGTGTAATTATTATCTTAGATTTAAGTTTGCTTCCCACGTTTTGGCCACAGTCCCTAAAATGGTTCATAAAGTTCATTAAATACAATTCCATTCTAAAGCCTTGTAGAAATTTTAAAAATGGACACACAAGATGGTGGGTTGAATAAGAGAGAAACAGGTTTAAAAAAAAAACAATTTTGAAATGATGAACTCAAGCAAACATGGGTGGTCTGGGAGAGAAGCCAATCGAAGGCTGTTGTATGGTGGTCTCTGTTTTTGCCCCTTCTCATGGGGCAGCTGATACTGATGGCTGCAGTCACTGTGGTTCAGGAGAGGCTACTCGGGCCGATTCAGGAATAGGCATGCGATATGGTGCCTTTACTTCCCCCTCCCCCACCCCCTTTCCTCTCACCCACAGGGCACTTGTTCTTCTTACATGGCTGCTGTGGTGGAGGAGGAGTCCCTTGCAATTGTCTGAAAGATTTCTAGTGAAGTGACTGGCCCTGAAATAAGGAGTTCTGGAACTCAGTGGTGGGGCCATGGGGTGTGTGTAACTTTTGTCCATTACTGTGATAATGATAACAATAACGATGCGGTGCAAACTAAGTTTTCATGCAGGTGAGAGTATGAACTTTCCCTTTTTCATTGTTTTTCATTAGAAAAGGTCTGGGAGGTGTTCACTCATTGGGAAGGTGGGGGGAGGCTGTGCTGGGTTCTTGTGCAGTTGAAAACACTGGGGGAGAGAAAAGAGCACCCTGAAGACTTTGCATTACGATCTGAAGGAAGCCTGCCTGCTTAATATTCTGAAACAGATTTTGAACACCCAGATCAATAGCTATACCAGCTTTCTCAAGGGTGGGCAACATACTGCCCAACATGGCAATTTCCCCACCACTACCACCAGGGCTGCTGCCTTTGCATTTGCTGGTATGGTGGACAACAACCCCCACCCCCCATTGAAAACAAGACATGCAGGGAAAGCTTGGAACCAGAATTGCACTCCTGGAAGTGTCCCAGGGGCATGGTTCTGCTTGTAAGCAAGACATGCACTTCCTATGTACCTTGTTTTTTCTGCCACAGTTGCAAATTTGGTAGTGGCATTTGAACAACAGGGAAGCACAGTGCTTGGTGAGGTCTGGGGAAAATATGACCTCCAACTACATACAGACGTCCGCAGAGGTGACAAATAGGTATAAAGATCAAATGCCTTGCATAGTACATGATCAATGAACTAGACACACCTTGCATATTTCTAGGACTGTTTCATCCATAGCTGAAAAGTCAGGTGTCATTCCAGTAACTGGGCCCCAAGGAGCAGCTAGTAATACATCCTAGAGAGGAACAACCTGAGAGCATCCCTGCACAAGGCATTCTAAACTCTGCTCAGCAGCAAAGGCAGGCTACAGCTCATTAGCAGACCACTTGCTTTACAGATGAAGGTTCAGTCCCTGGCATCTGGAGAAAGGGCTCCTGATTGAGGTCCAAATTACATATGACAATGAATTGACCACCTGGAAACACATCAGGTTTGAAAACAGTAATAGCAGTAGGCACAGGGAGCTTCTATTTTCATGGGGAATTTGGTCTGGAAGATGTTTAACCCTTTTCTCCTGAGCCACGATCTCAGTAAAAATCTGTTCTCCACCCCACTGCTATTAGGCTTCAGGAAATAGCCCTTCTATAGGGGGCAATAGGAACTCCCTGCCCCTTTTCTAATACTTTGACTGGGAAGGAAGGGTTAAACCAGGAGTGCGGAGTCTCAAGCCCACAGGCCAATTTCAGTCTGCCTGGAATCCAAATCCCCCTTCTGCTGCTCCCACAACTTTTCCCTAGCTGTCAATTGTCTAGTGGCTTCTTGGCTTCTGCACAGTTTTCCCTCATTCAAAAAGGCTATAATGCCCCTCCTAAGAGTCATTTAGCAGCAGTAAAAGCTTTATGCTAAAATATGCTGGGATCTTGGGGGCATCCCATTTGCCTTTAGCCTTGCTCCATTTGACTTGCACATACAATTGCACATCCCGCCCCCCTGCAGCTTCTCCAAGATAAAAGAGGTTTCTCAACCCTGGTCTAAACTTTCCTTGCATGTTGTGGTTCTGATAAAAAGTGGGTCTCACTGAACCTGCTATTCCGTTTTTTAAAACCTGATGTACTTCCAAACACTGCATTAAGCATCATGTGTAATTTTGCTCTCAAACCTAAACCAGACAGTGTAGAAGATACCAAGATAAAAGGAGAAACATCGTGACTGACTATAAGGCACTAACCAGGCCTGCCTGGCTTACTGCAAGCCCTCAAAATGCTCCTGCTTACCCAGAACCTCACTATACTTTCTGCCTCCTTGCACGCTCAATCTGGAAGAAACAACAAAGTGTCAGTGGGTGGAGAGATGGACGGGAAAGAAGATATTCTCATCCAACCTGTCCCACCACCGGATGTGGGACAGCGGATATACTGCTAAGATATGAGCCATTAACCAACCATAATCTCCAGGGTACTAGAGACAGCAGGAAAGCATTGATTAGGCTAATAGATGTAGCTTAATGGGAGCAATGAAAGAGGACAGTGCTTCTCCACCACATGCAAGAAAATAGAGCAAGTACTTAGAGAAAGTTTTGCTTAAAAAGTCAACCCTGCTCTCTGCAACAGGACAGAACCAAACATTGCTAGGAGCAATGACTGCACACCAAGCACAACATGGACAGTCCACAGCCAGA